GAACAACAGTTCATCTGTCGGGATTCACCCAACTGTCGAGAAATACTGCAGCCATCTGTCGGGATTCGTTCTCTCTTTCTTTCCTTTTCACAATTGACAGCTTTTTTTTTTCTTTTCCAAGATTTGATATGACACTTACACAATTAAAAGGTGATATTTTTGTAAATGACAACTAAAAAAATGACATGGGGTGCAATTTCCTCATATAAAAAATGAAATAAAATAAAATTGGTGGCCATATGCCGAGGCCAAATGGTCTCGACATGGGTGAACCATGCGATTGCATGAAAATTTCGACCTTTTCTGGCCATTTTTGACCGTTGCAAATTTGAAATTGATGACTTTTCACTTGATTTTTTGACACCATTTCGTACTTCTGGTCGATGGCTATATATAGGAGAGCCATGTTTGAGAGAATGATGTTAGAAAAATATCTTGCAATTCATACTTTGTTCTAAGAAAAATCAAATCTCAATTTACATTCATATCTTCGTGTTCTTCAAGTTTTCCAGAATTTCACTTTGTGCTTTGATTAAATTCTTTACAAGTCTTATTTCAATCATTCAAACAATTTGCATGAACACCCTTAAGCATCTCAAAACACCGGAGATAGGGCAAATAACGTTTAAGGACATCGATACCCGTGTTCGAACTTTCATAAATTACTGTCACAATTTTTTGATTATGTTAATCTTGTTGTCATATTTCTTGTGATTTTCTCTTGGTCTCTTCTCCATCATTCCATATTTCACAACACTATTTCGCCCCTCGGGAGGTAGCCCGGTGGTGCAAAAAATAGGAGTGAGGTTCTTACACGCCTTGTTGACAGTCGCAATGTGGGAGTTCGATTTCTGAGACATGAAATTGGACTCCTTGTAGGCGCAGTGTACAGATAGCTCTTGTTCCCTAACTTGTTAAGGCACATCCCGCGATTTACCTCATTCACAAAGTTTTAGGGACGAGACGATGGATACCCTCAAAGTTGGGGTTCAACCTTTATATTTCACAACACTATTTCTATTCTTCTTTTTCCTGTCCTTTTTGTTGTCACATCAAATATTGAAAAGAAACAATTTTTACTTTTATTCCACCAAATGAAAAGTAATTATTAGATTCTTTTTTCCTTTTTGTTTCCACTCACCCAAGACTTTTCTGCATCAGAACAAAGTGACAAGAAAAGACGGGTCAGCTACGAACATTGCAAAGATCCAATACCCGAAGCCATCTGGCAGACTTTTAAACGGTCCAATTGTTCGCCAATCATTTTTCACTTTCACACGCTCCTCTCGTGCACTGGGGGCCAGTTCTCACGTGCATCCACTTTCTTCACGTGTTAAGCACATGTTTAATTGAGTAATGCTATTTCTAGTGAAAAATATCGATAGTCATTTTACGTAGTATAATAAATCGATATATATATACCAAATATGATGATTGTCAATAATCTTCATTGTGAATATCATTATTCGTTTGAAGTACTTTATAAAAACTTACTTTTTTTTCAAATTTATTTTCAAGCATATATATTTTTAATAAAATAATTTTATATGTAAATTTAAATATATCCTAATATTACTTTACAAAAAGACAACTCTCTTTCTATAATTGACTATTGTCAAAAATAATTTTTTGACTATAGCAAACTATAGAAAGACAATTGTCTTTCTCTATCAATTTTGTTAAACAAAATCTGTACTTGTAGAGTTTTTCTAAATTAAATAAGAGTGATCAAATGCAATATATGTAGTTTACTATTGATAGTAATTTTATTACGACAATGTCTAATTATTGTTGTATATTTGTTCATTTTTGAAGAAAGTTGAAGTGGAAATATAATAGTTGTTGATATATACTCTCGTCTACTTGGTTTTCACATAACACAAGTTAACTCATCAAGAAGAGTAGTTGAATACTCTCCCATATCATTTATGTAGGTTGACTTTCATTATTTTATTGTTCCAATTATATAGTCCTATTTCTTTATTGAAATTATTTTGTTTTTGTTCGTTTACTAATATACTCTTATTTAATTGTCTAATTATAACCATGTTTTCCTACTTAATTTTGAAATTGTACAAATATAAATAAGGGAAAGTTATGAAAGTTTTTGACAAAAAATATTATTTTAATAACATTAAATAAGATTTTTTAATCAGTGTGAAAAATAAAACCAGCATATATTACATAGGACGGGTGGAGTATTAAACATCCTAGTTTCAAGTCCTTTAAATTTTTTGAGATGATATCATCTTCTTCATGTACAGTTCCTTAGCAATCTCCTTGACTTGGCACAATCATATACGCAACTACAACCAAGACCTCATCACCTATAACCCCAACAATTCTTGCACGCCCTTAAAAAAAATTTAGTGAAATGATAAATAACAATGATCATTGAGTAAGACGTCATGTTAAAGACATGCTAATTGACATGAGCAGATCCAAAAAAATATTCAGGATAGGCTAATATGCCAAAAAAAAAAAAAAAGTTGCGAAATTCACACCAAAAAAATATTATTTACTTAATTTTTTTTTAATTAGCATTTGGGCTGGAGGACGAGCTATAGCCCCGCCCCGCCCTAGATCCGCCCTTGATAAATAATGTTGAGAGGATGAATGGCCAACAAATTCTCAATTTTTCCATCCTTGCAAGCCCAACAAAAAAAATAAATAAAGGAAAAAGCTTTTACTCTTTTTCTTTTTTCTTGTTAATATCCGATAGCCAAACATTGTAATGTTTTGTTGATTCTAGCACTTAAGAGGATATATTTGACTAGATCTCATAGACAAAATATCTCGCTTAATGTTTTGTTGATTCTAGCACTTAAGAGGATATATTTGACTAGATCTCGTAGACAGAATATCTCGCTCAAGTTAAAAATTCAACATTTCTATAAGAATGCAAGTTAAAATTTAAACAGAAAGTTCTTATTCGTGATGCAAGAGGACAATTGTTTCCAACTAGATTTGTTTAAAAAAATGATTTAAGTTATAAAACCTATTTAAAATGAAAGAATACAAAATCTATAAAAAAATATTATTTGTAGTAATTCTACTAGTGAAGAGCAAGAAATGAATAGATGGTTAAAATGACTAGTCATTTGGGGGAAAAAATTGAATAGGCTTTGAGATTATTTCAATATAAAAAGTATTTATGAACTTTGTTTCTCATTGTATAAATTATATATAAAAAAAAGTAAGAATTCTCGGTTTTAAATAACTGAGAAACATTTATATTGTCCTCCGCTACTATTCACTAAAAACTATAATTTGTAAGATATTTTAAATTCAACTTCAAATTATTAAAAAGAAAATTCTTTTCAAACTCTTGAATCCTCTTTGATGACATTTATACCGATCAAGTGGATAGCAACAATCCCGCTAGAGTGCTCGAATTTTTTTGATAGAGGGGTTGACCGACTCTCACAATGGCAGGGACCCCACATTTTTTTTGGATCTTTTTATTCACATGAAACTCACGGCACGTGAGAAGATGTCAACAATTCGGGTAAAGTGGTAAAACTCGGATAGCAATTACTTATATATCATAAGAAACATATTCGAGTACTATCACAAACAATAACACAAAATTTACTTCAACTTACTTAAATCTGAACCAACCAAATTGAAATAGGCTCATATAAATAAAATGAATAGTTGTATCTAACGTTGGCAATTGGATTGATCCGCATCCAGCTAGGCGGGATTCGACCCACAAGGCGAGCCAAAGGCCTATCCTAATCTCTTGATATTTTCACTTTTTTCAATCTCAAATTCAGTTTCGCTCCTTGAAACCCACTTGCCCAAAATCTCAAACTCCATTCGACGAATCTAGCCACAATTTGAGCTCGATTTAATGCGGTCCAAGTTATCGATGGGCTGGACCATCGAGCGACAAATGATCCAAGCCCA